AATAACCAATAAAACAAAATTCTAGACTTAGAAAAAAATCGCAAAAGTAACAAGGATATTTCCTGCTACCTAAAAACACTGAAAAAGTAAGAAATATCGCAAAAATAGCAATAATAACAAATTTAACAAAATTCTAGACTTAGAAAGAAAAATGGCCAAGAAGGGCCTCAAAAAGCACTCAAATCTCGCAAAAATCGCAAAAGTAACAAGGATTTTTCTTGCTATGTGAAGAGATTGAGTACTTTCATTGAAAGTCAGACCGCTGGGCGCCACCAGTTCAGCCCCAGTCAGTCGCACTAGAAACATACCTAGAAGAGGTTAAATTACAACTTGCTAATTGATAAATACAATCACGTCAAGAAACAATCTACCCAAGAGGGAACAACTTGCCATCAAACAACTAAAACAAAACCCGGAAATCAACATTAAACGAGCAGATAAAGGCTCTTCTATTGTTGTTCTCAACAAAGAAGACAAAATAAAAGACGGTCAAATATAAATAGATGACAGAGAAAACTACAAACCCTTAGAAACACCAATGGTAGTAGAAACCTCTAGAAGGGTCAAGAAATTGATAGATAAACTTTACAAGGAGAAACATATAGACGAGATGACAAGACGATGGCTATCCCTCACGCCAAATCCACCGCGAATACCACAATTCTAGATACGACAGACTTCATAGAGAAAACCAGGGTCGTAGAAAATGCTATGCTAGTCTCTATGGATGTAACTAGCCTATACACAAACATCCCACAGGAGGAAGGAATTACCATTATATGCAAAGCATACGAAACATCCTATCAAAACAAACCTCCAACACTCAGCCAATACCTCGCAGATATGCTCAGACTAATCCTAAGGAAGAATTCTTTCCAATTTGTTGGAAAAAACTACCTCCAAGGACAAGGTACAGCTATGGGAACAAAAATGGCAGTTGAATTTGCTAACATTTTTATGTCTGCAATAGAGACAGAAATTATTAACAAACGTCCCCACAAGCCACTAGTGTGGAAGAGATTTATCAATGACATATTCTCATTGTGGAATGTAGACAAAGAAGAAATATACTCATTCATCGAACAAGCAAATAACCACCAGCCTTCCATAAAATTTACTGTTGAAGTTTCAGAAACAGAGACCGCCTTTCTGGATACATGTATTTACAAAGGAGAAAGATTTAAGAAGCAATCAATCCTAGATGTGCGTACACACCTCAAACCGACAGAAACTTTCCAATACACGTATTTCTCTTCATGTCACCCCCCAGGGGTTAAGAAAGGATTCATAAAAAGCGAGGCCTTAAGATTACTCAGAACAAACTCTTCTGAGAAAAGGTTCGAAGAGAACATAACTAATTTCAAGCGAAGACTCCGTATGAGAGGTTATAGAGATAAAGTGATAGATAAACACCTATCAGAAGTCAAGCATCACGAAAGAATGTCGGCTTTGCAAAACAAAACAAAAACGCACAAGAAAATACTACCATTCGTGACAGAATATCGCCCCTCAGTACCGAACCTACAAAAAATCATCATGCACAAATGGTATCTTATAGAAAACCAACCGTTGTTTAGAGAAATCTTTAAAGACCCTCCCATAATAGCTTACAAAAGAGGAAAGTCACTACAAGATATACTCGTAAGAGCTAATCTATGAAGATAAGGTCAAACCAACAGAAACTGAGCCAAAGCGAGACGTGAATAGCCTGTCAACATTATGAACAACACAAACTATGAAGCTTGAGGGTCAAAGATATACAACTATTTGGCCAAAAGGAGTCGTGTATGGCCTGTCAAAATTATGAAACATATTTCCTCGTGTTGTGCGATTTTCAACGATTGTCTCGATAAAAAAACGAATGAAATAAAACTTCGGCCTCACTTGTGTGGTATTGACTAAAAGTATCCAAACGTTATGCCTGTTATAGGACCCTGCCGCGTTTTTAAGTCATTTTACAAGGGCGCCTTAAGACTCAGCGTTTTATGCAAAATATCTGATCGTAAAAATATTGCCCAGAAATTTCGCTTACATTTTTTGGAAAATCATGATAAAAGTATAAAAGCCAAAAGAAACTATAAAAGGCTTCAGGTGCCATAGCATTGAGACACAGAGCCTTCGTCATGGTCCAAGCGCTGTTTTCAAAAAAGGAAACTTGTGTTCCATTTCCGTCAAAGACAAAAAATTTACCAAATAAAGCTGATTGCTGCAAATTACCATAAACGAAAAACGAACTGTAATACAAACCATTCAACCACGACCATACTCGCCAAAAACGCGTCCAATCGGGAAAAAAAAATTGCGACTTGTCATGGAAAAATAAACTAAACTTTAGACAACAGGGTAACAGAGTAACAAGGTAACAGAGTAACAAGGTAACAAGGGAACAAAGTAACACAGTAACAAGGCAACAGAGTAACAAGGGAACAAGGTAACAGAGTAACAAGGTAACAGGGTAACAGAGTAACAAGGTAACAGAGTAACAAGGTAACAAGGTAACAAGGTAACAGAGTAACAAGGTAACAGGTTAACAGAGTAACAAGGTAACAGGGTAACAAGGTAACAAGGTAACAAGATAACAGAGTAACAAGGTAACAGGTTAACACAGTAACAAGGTAACAGGGTAACAAGGTCACAGGGTAACAAGATAACAGAGTAACAAGGAAACAGAGTAACAAGGTAATAAGGAAACAGAACAACAAGGAAACAAGGAAACAGATCAACAAGGTAACAGAGAACAGAACTACAAGGCATCAAGGAACGAAGTAGAAAGAGTGAAGGTATAAGTTAAGTAGGTAAAATCGGTACAATATATGTCCCCATACATGACGTACCTACCGAGAAAACAGTACGATGAAACGAGGGATACGACGACTCGAAGACATGGAATCGACGCCACGAAGACAACAGACAATGACTCGAAGAACAATTTTCGAAGCATACAGGCATGCACTTACCTTCACTTGCATGCACTTACATCACTTGTATGCACTTACCTTCACTTGCATACACTTACCTTCACTTGTATGCACTTACCTTCACTTGTATGCACTTACCTTCACTTGCATACACTTACCTTCACTTGTATGCACTTACCTTCACTTGCATACACTTACCTTCACTTGCATGCACTTACCTTCACTTGCATGCACTTACCTTCACTTGTATACACTTACCTTCACTTGTATGCACTTACCTTCACTTGCATGCACTTACCTTCACTTGTATGCACTTACCTTCACTTGTATGCACTTACCTTCACTTGCATACACTTACCTTCACTTGCATACACTTACCTTCACTTGTATGCACTTACCTTCACTTGCATGCACTTACCTTCACTTGCATACACTTACCTTCACTTGTATGCACTTACCTTCACTTGTATGCACTTACCTTCACTTGCATACACTTACATTCACTTGTATGCACTTACTTCATTTGTACGCACTTACCTTCACTTATACGCACTACCTTCACCTGTATGCACTTGCCGTCACTTGTACGCTCCTAGAGGGTAGCAAAGGGTTTATGGGTGACGCGTGTTTAGGCCCAAATTTAGTGCGTGAGTCGCGTGAAGCGTGAAACGTCCCAAAATAGGAACGTGATCCGTGAAACCAGTTATGCATGGGAAGTGTGATTTTTCGTATAAGATGCGCAGTACTCGGTGAATAATTCAATATAGGACAGACAGGAAAGCCTCGTACGTCACAGTCGGTGTAGGCTGCACAGAAGGCATCGCGCCCTCTAGGGGAGAAAAAGAGTAAAACTAACCAAAAAACTGACCTGCGCTTGCGACGCAGGCTTCAGTCGCTAGCGGGTTAAAAGAAGTCGCATCGAGGGTGTTAATGTGTTTTCAGTTTGAACGTCTGGAAACACGTGTTTTCCACATCCGCGACTGCTAGTGAACACTCACATGCTAATGAGAGGAGAAACGGGAGAAGCTGCGACCGTCAAATACAATGCAAATTGAGATCCATGATGGCTGTTTTTCGGTTCTTATTGCTACTCTCCACCTACCTGTTGTATATAAGCCCCCCGTTTATAAGCCCTCCTGAACCCTTTAAACCCTAAGATCAAAATTGAGATTCTCGTTTACTGTCCCTATACTTTTTCAATACAAGTAGTGGGGAGAATTTGTTGAAATATCAGATAGACTCATCTTCCCTGATCATGTACTCAATTCTCATGACCAACTCTGTTTTCTAAAGAATTTTTCTGAAAAATTTCATGCTGATAACTCTTAGGGCTTAAACGGTTTAAGCCCTTACAAAGTTGTATAAGCCCTGGCATTTGAAGGGCTCCTGGCCCAGTCCTCACAATCAGAAGTTTACGGTACCCGTCTCCTCTCATAAATAAAGAAAAATTAAACCTAAGTGGAGAAAGATTCAATACAAATATCTAGAACTGCGCTAACACAGAGATTCAGAATTAAGTTTACGGCAAACGGCAAACTTGGAATTCAAGTTAAGAAGAACGTCTTTGTAATTTTGCTTTGTCGCGAACCTGGTGAATTCCCCTCGCACAACGGCATACCATAAACTTCCGATTATTAGCCCCATAATAAGAACGAAAAAAGCTGAAAACAAGGTTAAAAGTTTCAAGCCTGCGTTTCCACTGCTCAAGGCCGTATACCGCCAGACATGTTTGTGTATACTAAAAGATTCTTTCACTTTGTTCTCATTGTATTTCCGTAAATGACTGTTGCATAAAGTACCATTTTGCTCCTTTTTTCTTAATTTATTACCCGAGATGACGTAGTCAGCAAGCGTCATAAATTCGGTAGCGCATTCCTGTCGTATTTTTCTAAGGAGTGAAAAATTGTCTTGTTTTTTTAACTTTCCTATATCCCGTACCCGTCCCGGAAAATTGTGTGGTTTTCATTAGCTAAAACTTCCAATCAAAAGCAAGTCAGGTTCGATTTCACAAGCAGAAAAAAGCTACTGTGTCAGACAAGAAGCAAAAAGTAAGCTTACTGCGTAGAGGAGGAGTAGTTCACTGTGCCCCCTGTGTCCCTTGTGCCCCCTTGTGTCCCCTGTGTCCCTTTGTGTCCCCTGTGTCCTCTGTGTCCCTTTCTCTGCCCTGTGTCTCTTGTCTTCCCTGTGTCCCCTGTGTTCTCTGTGTCCCTTTCTCTCCCCTGTGTCTCTTGTCTTCCCTGTGTCCCCTTGTGTCCACCTTAGTCCCTTTGTGTACTCTGTGTCCCTTTGTGTCCCATGTATCCCTTGTGTTCCCTATGTCCCTTTGTGTTCCGCGTGTATTCTTGTGACCCTGTGTATATTTGTGTCCCCTGTATCCCTTTGTGTTCCCTGTGTCCCCTTGTGTCCCTTTTGTACCTTTGTGTCCCATGTGTCCGTTGTGTCCCCTGTGTCCCTTTGAGTTTCCTGTGTCCCCTGTGTCCCATGTATCCCCAGTGTCCCTTTATGTCCTCTGTGTCCCCTGTGTCTCTTATGTCCCCTTGTCTCCCTTGTGACTCCTTGGTCCTATGTGTCCTCTTGTGTGCCTTGTGTCCCCTGTCTTCCTTGTGTCTAATGTGTCCCTTGTGTTCCCTCTGTTCCATGACTCTCCTGTATCCCTTGTGTCCCCTATGTCCCTTTGTGTCCCTTGTCTCCTGTGTCCCTCGTGTCACCTCCGTCCCATGTGTCCCCTTGTGTCCCTTGTGTCTCCTGTGTCCCATGGAGACCCTCTGTCCCTTGTGTCCCCTGTGTCTCCTGTGTTCCATGGAGACCCTTTGTCCTTTCTGTCCCCTGTATCCCTTGTGTTCCCTATATCCCCTTGTGTCCCCTGTGTACCTTTTTGTTTCTTTGTTCCAGTTGTGTCACCTGCGTCTAATGTGTCCCCTTGTGTCCCTTCTGTCCCCTGTGTCCCTTGTGTCCCATGGAGCCCCTGTGTCCCTTGTGTCCCTTGTGTGCCCTGAGTCTCCTGTGTCCCTTGTGTCCCCTTGCGTCCCTTGTATCCCATTGTGTCTCTTGTGTCCCCAAGTGACCCTGTGTCCATTGGGTCTCTTCTCTGCCCTGTGTCCATCGTGTCCCTTGTGTCCCCTGGATCCCCTTTGTTTCTTGTGTCCCCTGTGTTCCTTGGGTCAACTTACGTCCCTTGTAACACATGTGTTCCCGGTGTCCTCTTTGTTCCCTGTGTCCCCTATGTCTCTTGTGTCCCCTGTGTTCCTTGTGTCCCATAAGTCCCCTGCATCCCATGTGTCCCCTTGTGTCCCTTGTGTCTCCTTTGTCCCCTGTGTCCCTTGTGTCTCCAGTGTCCCATGGAGCCCCTATGTCCCTTGTGTGCCATGAGTCTCCTGTATTGCTTTTGTCCCCTTGTGTCCCTTGTATCCCTTGTGTCCCCAGTGTACCCTTGTGTTCCTTTTGCCCCCTTGTGTCCCATGTGCCCTATTGTGTCCGTTGTAATACCTGTGTTCCCAATGTCCCCTTGTGTCGCCCATGACCCCTTGTGTCCCCTGCTACCTTTCTGTTTCTTTGTGTTCCCTGTGTTCCCTTGTGTCCCTTTTGTACCTTTCTGTCCCCTGTGTTCCTTTGTGTCCTCTAAGTCCCTATAGTCCAGTGTGTCAGTTCTGTCCTCTGCCTCCCTTGTGTCCCCTAGGTCAAGTTTTGTCCCCTGTCCCTTGTGACCCCTGTGTACCTGGTGTCCCCTTGTCTCCCCTGTGTCCCCTTGTGTTGACTGTGTCTCCAGTCTCCCTTGTTTTCAATTGTGTCCCCTGAGTCCCCTGACTCCCTTGTGTTTCCCCGTGTCCCCTGCGTCTCTTGTCTCCTTGTCTCCCCTCTATTCCTTTGTGTACCCTGTGTTCCCTGTGTCCCCTCTGTCTCCTATGTCCCTTGTGTCCGCTGTGTCCCTTGTGTGCACTGAGTCTCCTGTCTCCCTTGTGTCCCCTAGTATCCCTTGTATCCCTTGTGTACCCTGTGTCCCTTTGTGTCCCTTGTGTTGCTTGTGTCTCCTTGCATCCCTTTTGTACTTTTGTGTCCCCTGTGTCCCTTGTGTTCCCTGTGTCCCCTGAGTCCCTAGAGTCGCCTGTGTCACTTGTGTCCCCCGTGTCCCTTGTGACCCCTGCATACCTGGTTTCCCCTTGTGTCCCATGTGTCCCCTTGAGTTGATTGTCTCCTGTCTTCCCTGTCTCCCTTGTGTTCCCTAAGTCCCCTGCCTCCATTTTGTTTCCCTGTGTCCCTTGTGCCCCTGTGTCTCCTATGTCCTTTGTGTCTGCTGTGTCCCTTGTGTCCCCTGTGTAACTTGTGACTCCTGTATCTCCTTGGGTTCCCTGTGTCCCTTTTGTCTATTGTGTCCCCTGTGTCCGTTGTGTCCCCTTGTCTCACGTGTCCCCTGTGTCCTCTGTGTCCCTGGTCTTCAATTATGTCCCTGTCTCCCTTTGTGTCCCCTGTGTCCCTTATTTCCACTTGTGTCCCTTGTGTCCCATGTTTCCTCTTGTGTGCTTTGTGTCCCCTGTGTCTTTTGTGTCCCCTTGTGTCCCTTGTTACCCCTTTGTCACCTGTGTCCCTTGTGTCCCCTGTGTTATCTGTGTCCCCTATGTCCCTTCTGCCTGTTTTGTCCCCTGTGTCCCTTGTGTCCCTTCTGTCCCCTTGTTTTCCATGTGTTCCTCGTATCCCTTTGTGCCCCCGTGTCCTCTGTGCCCCTTTTTTCCCCATTGTCCCTTGTTTCCTCTTGTGTCCCCTGTGTCCTTTGTTTTTCTTTGTGTCCCTTGTTTTCGTCTGTATCCCTTGTGTCCCTTGGAAGTTCCTTTGCCCCTTGTGTCCCCCGTGTCCCTTTGCGTCCACTGAGTGGGCTATGTCCCTTGTCTTCAATTTTGTCCCCTCTGTCTCCTGTGTCCCTTTTACCCCCTGTGTCCTTTGGGTCCCTGGAGTCCCCTGTGTCCGTTGTGTCTTCTTGTTTCCCTTTTGTCCCTTTCTGCCCCTTGTCACCCATGTGTCCCCTTGTGACCCCTGTGTCTCTTGTGTTTCCTGTGTCCCTTGGGTCCCCTGTGTCTCCTGTATCCATCGTGTCTTCTGTTCCTTTGTGTCCCTTTTGTCCCTTGTGTCCTATGTGCCCCATTGTGTCCCCTTTGTCCCTTCTGTCCACACGTGTCCACTGTATCTCTTGCTTCCCCTGTGTCTCCTTAAGTTCCCTGTGTGCCCTGTGTCCCTTGTGTCTCTTGTGTTTTCCTGTGTCCCTTGTGTCCCATGTATCCCGTGTGCCTCTTGTATCCCCTCGGATCCATTGTGCCCTCTGTGTCCCTTGTGTCTTTTGGGTTCCCTGTGTCCTCTGCGTACCTTGTGTCCTTTTGTGTCTCTTGTGTCCCTTGGGTTCGCTTTGTCTGTTGTGTCCCTTTGTGCCCCTTGTGTCTAATGTGTCCCATTGTGTCCCTTGAGTCGATTGTGTGCCCTGTGTCTCCTCTATCCATTTTGTCCTCTGTGTCCCATTGTGTCCCTTTTGTCTTCTTGTGTCCTATGTGTCCCATTTTTCCCTTGTGTCCCCTTTGTTCCTTTTGTCCCCTCGTGTCCCTTGTCACCCCTGTGTCCGCTGTATCTCTTGCTTCCCCTGTGTCTCCTAAAGTTTCCTGTGTCCACTGTGTTTCTTGTGTCTTTTGTGTTTTCCTTTGTCCCTTGTGTCACCTGTGTCTTATTTATCCCGTGTGTCTCTTGTGTCCCTGTGGATCCCTTGTGACCTCTCTATCCCTTATGCCCCTTGTGTCCCATGTGTCCTATTGTGTCCCCTTGTGTCCCTTGTGTTTCCTGTGCCCCGTGGGTCCCTTGTGTCCCCTGTGTCTCCTGAAGCCATTGTGTCCTCTGTGTCCCGTTTGTCTCCTTGTGTCCCTGGTGTCCGATTTCTCCCATTGTGTCCCTTGTGTGCCCTTTGTCCCCTGTGTCCGCTGTGTCCCTTGCTTCTCCTGTGTCTCCTTAAGTTCTCTGTGTCCCCTGTGTCTCTTGTGTTTTTTGTGGTCCTCTGTGTCCCCTTTGGTCCTTTGTGACCTCTGTGTCCCTTGAGCCCCTGTGTCCCTTTGAGTCTCCTCTGTCCCCTGTTTGCCTTGTGTCCCCGGTGTCCTTTGTGTCACCTTGTTTGCCCTCTGTCCCCTTGGTACTATTGTGTCCCCTCTGAACCTTTGTGCCCCCTTGTCCTTCGTGCCCCTTATGTCCTCCTATGTCCCCTTTCTCCCTGTTGAAATATAACATAGGTGGCTCCTTTTACAAAATAATTTCCAGCATGTATTCAAATTCAATATGTTGTGTGAAAGGCAATTATACTCGATCAGAATTTTTCAACTATGATAAAGGTGTACGACAAGACTGTATTCTGTCGCCGCTTCTATTTAACCTTTATCTAAACGAACTACCCTTCATTCTAAATAACAATGCTAAAGATTCTATCTTACTACCAGATGGTTCTCACTAAAACTGTCTACTTTATGCCGATGATTTACTTTTAATATCTACCTCGGCGGAAGGTTTGCAACAAAGTCTTGACAGACTATCAAAATATTGTCCGGATTGGCTTCTTGAGATTAATCCAACTAAAACCAAAGTTATTGTATTTCAGAAAAAAAGTAGAAAATCAGTAATAGATAAACACAATTTTATGGTTAGCAATGAAAACATTGAAATCGTCAATAACTACACCTATCTTGGATTGAGATTTTCTGCCAATGGAAATTTTACAAATCAAAAGGAAAACTTAACAGAAAAAACAAAGAGATCCTTTTTTGCCACTCGTCGTTATCTAGATTTTCTAAAATTACCAATTCACATCATCAACAAACTGTTCAATACACTATTTTTCCCAATTTTAACGTATTGCTCTGAAGTTTTGGGAGTCTATGATAAAAGTGATTATAGCCGCTGGGATAAAGACTCGATTGGGAAAACGCATATACATTTTTGTAAGATGTATTTAGGTTTAAACAAACGTTCACCGAATGTTGCATCCAGAAATGAACTTGGTAGATTATCTCTAAATTTACAAATAACAATGAACATTTTCAAATTTTGGATTCACCTTGAAAATCAACCCCCTGACAGCATCGCTAAACTCTGCTTAAACATATTGGATAAACTGGCCGAAGAAAATAAATCTGGTCTAATAAATAAAATAAATCTTTTGAGTACACAACTTAATATTCATAAACAGTCAGTTAAATTTAAAAACCCTTCTACTTTTCAGATACTTTCCTATCCAAAGCTGAGAATAATTTGTCAAAACATCTGAAAAACCACCAGCTAAATTTGATAAGAACAAATAAAAAACTAAAATTTTACTCCATCTTTAAAAATGAAACAAATCACTCTGAATTCATCAATCATATCCGGAATCCTGAACGTAGGCGTGTAGCTTCCAAATTTAGGATAGGAAATCATAATTTAAAAATAGAAACTGGAAGATTTACAATCCCCAGAACTCCTGAAGACCTTAGAATCTGTGATCATTGCAACCAAAATTCAGTTGAAAATGAACTGCACATATTATTTCACTGTGATCAATACAATGATTTGAGAAAGAATCTTTCTATTAAAATCAACGACCGAAATACATTATTTACACATTACAATATCCATGATAAAGTCTGTTTTCTTTTTAACAATACTGATTCACATATCAGCAGGCTAGCTGCTAATTTCATCTTTCAAGCATTTGAAAGACGAAAGAAACACAGTTAATTCTACCGTTCCATCATATCTGCATTTCCTTAAACTTAGCTGTTTATTATTGTTATTTTAATCGGTAACACCTGTACAAAATGGTAATACTGAATAAACTTGTTGTTGTTGTTGTTGTGTCCTTTGTTTTCCTTTGTCTCTTGTGTCCCCTGTGTCCCTTGTTTTTCTTTGTATCCCTTGTGTCCCCCATATACCTTGTGTCTCTTTGAAGCCCCTGTCTCCCTTGTGTCCTCTGTGTCTTTTGTGTTCCCTTGTAGCCCCTGTGTCCCTTGTGTTCCCTTGTGTCCCATTGGTCTCCTTGTGCCCTTTGTGTCCCTAGTGTCCCCTGTCCCCTTAAAGTAAAGTAAAGTAAAGTAAAACTTTATTTACACAGGGTAGCCTGTTCAGCTCTAAGGCTGGTCTTCATAGGGGCGCTGTATCTTAAAAAATTTAGTTACAGTCCCCTTGTGACCTGTGTCCCCATGAGTCCCCTGTGTCCCTTGTGACTTTTGTCTCACTTGTGTTTCCGGTGTCCCTTTGAGTCCCCTGTGTTGCTTGTTTCCCTTGTGTTCCCCGTGTTCCCTTCTGTCCGTTGTGTCCCTCATGTCCCCCGTTTTGCTTTTTTTCCGTGTCCCTTGTGTTTCCTGTGTCCTTTGTGTTTCCTGTGTCCCTTGTGTCTTCTTATGTTCTGTTCTTTGTGTCCCGTGTCCCCCTTTTTCGTTTAAAAAACATGAAGTATTCGGTGGCGTTGCCTTTGTTTCTTATCTGGCGCGAAAACTTGGGGGTTCCATTGCTTCACGTGACAACATGCGGGGTTTTTTTGCACGCTCAGGATGTCAAAGAATGTGATTTTTTATGAAAATAAAAAACAACAACGCACAAAGTTCTGCTTTAATTGTTTAGAATTTTTTTATTTGATTAATCAACTAACGGTTCACTGATTTATTTATTTGAACCATTACAAACACAGCAATGATTCTTGTCCATATACAAACATATAAATCGCTCCTTCATAAAATGATTAGTCCTGATCACGAATGCGCACTCGTACTTTCATAAGATAAAAACTAAGCGCCCATTTATCTTTATAAAAACCCTGCAATCTTCCTTTGAACTTATATTTATTGTTCGATAGTCCATGCAGTCTTAATTCTTTCCATAAATGTTTCAATCCAACCTCAATGCACTTAATAGAATTCAATTTTAATATTAACATGAAAACCAAGCGCATACCGGCATTTCTTATATATAAATTGCAATCCCCATTAAGACCCTGTTTACATGGAGTGGGGGACTCCGGTCTAGTGGGGTAGGTTTCTTTTGTTTTGTGTCCCTCAGAGCATGAAAACAAAAGAAACCAACCCCACTAGACCGGGGTCCCCCACTCCATGTAAACAGGTCCTTATACACTTAACCTAGTTTCGCAATCAGTTAATTGTTACATAATGATTGCAACAAGTCTTAGTAAATTAGACCCTAGATTAATAACATGCACTTTTTTACTTCTTACATTAGCATTGCAATACCCTCATCGTAAGTTAATTACCAGATTAATCAAATGCGCGCACTATTAAATTTTGCCTACAATACCCAAAAAGACACACACAAGAATAAATACACGGGCTTGTAGGTCAGCAAGGGCCTCAAAGCCAGTTTACTGCAAAACGTCCCTAAGATTACAAAAATACACTAAAGTACAAAACACCCTATGACGAAACACGAATGTCAAAGAAAAAAAAGTACGACACCGCCGGATACGAAAACCCAAAACCGCTTTGTGGAAAAAAGGGAACGTACACCCCCACCAGGTGAAATCAGCTGCGGTGCCGACAACTCGGGGGCAGAGGCACGCAAAATCTAGCTGCCAAAAGCCTATAAACAAATATATAACAACAACTGGCAAATAAAATGAAAGTTAGGACCTCGAATGAATGCTGAACTGGACTGATTCAAATTGCAACGTACAACTAAACATATCTAAAAAAGCTACCCACAATTCCTTCTACCGGCCTAGTCCTCTGGTCTAGTCCTAGTCCTAGTCTAGTCCGGCCTAGTCCTCCGGGAAAATAGCTATTTCTCTCTCCTCTAAATCTCAGTTTGTTCCAACAAGAAAACACACAAACCTTGGGTGCGGCTCGCTTCAAGCCAAGCGCTCGGTTTATTCACGAAAAAACTAAGATACATGACATATCATAGAAACGTAATATACAATCCAAGTAACATACAGCTCCAAAGAACTAGATCACAAGCTAATTGAAATGGGGTCGTGGAACAACAGCTGGGTGAAAAACCTCCCCGTACGTCCACTTGCACCTAGGAGGAAAACCCCAGGCCAGCTGCACCCCATAAAAAACGGTCCCCCGGGCAAGACCAACTAAATAGAAACTAGAATCAATTAAAAACGGTACGAACGAGAAAATTAATTACCTAAAGCCTTAGAAACCGACAAACGAGAAGATAAAGAATCTTGGATGTACACGTCCTTAGCTGATTCACTAGCGGTACGCCAGCATTTGCGGCAGCAGTAGCCCCGTCGCTACTAAGGCTACAATACAATATCTTAAAAGGCCTCTAGCACTAACTCTCTTAACCGTGAAAAGCTTAAACATTTGGATCTTGGCTTATAATAACCACATTTAGTTTTGGAAAGCTGGCAAAAAAAGGGCTATCGAAGGAAAGCCCAACTCTATCTAAATAACGGTTCATCATAACAACCGGACAAGTTGCTTTCCTAGAAAAAACTACAACAATCCAAGCTCCATCCCTATACTGATCAGGTTTACTAGATTAAATGAATAACCTTAACATGTCATTTTTGATCTTAACATCGGATCGAACAAGCTTAACAAGCTCAACAAATCTGAGAAAGGCAGCAAAAGCTAGTAAGCAAATAACAACCGAACGAATATTATACAAAGAGTCCATTGAGTCCGCCTTGGAGACAACTAACTGCTCTAACTGAGAGACTGTGAAAGGTTCCTTCTTGGTTGTCTGATGGGCCAGCAAACTCTGCGCACCGGCAAGAGTACTCTTCACCAACGGATGAGCAGAAGGAGACGGCTCGCCATCCAGCTGGTGAAACCAGGCAATGCTGTGAACTGCTGACTCCAGGGGAGATGCTGTCTCCGCCTCAGTCATCAAATGACGCAAATATATGGCAAAGTGAAACGGAGAAGCATGAAAAACTGTCAAGCCATGTTCTCGTGCCCAAGATCTCCATCTGTTGTAAGAAGAAAAATACTTGGCGGAAGTACTGGGTGCTCTGCTAGCCAACGCAACATCCGGAAGAGAACTTGCAAGGGATTGTAAAGCACTGGATCCCTGGGGAACCGCAGCCCGAAGATCCGACCACATAGTAGAGCTGAAAACATCTGCAAAATATAAGCAAAAAGAACACACACACACCCTTAAAAGACAAAAACAAATAAAAATGACCCGAACGCTGGAACAGCAAGACCGAGATGAAAGACAAATCCAGCACGCCCAAATATATACCCCTACTAATTACCCACATACCAGCGCACACGCCTAAACAAACATAAGATACCGATGAGAGCATATTTTCCTGCTAATTAACAAGTTGAACGCAGGAAAATACTAGTCGGTTCTATTATACTAAACTGTCAGAAGCAACTTTTCATAAGCATTGCAATACCCTTGTGGTAAGTTAATTACCAGATTAATAAAACGCACGCACTGTTAATTACTAAGCATTGCAATACCCTCGTAGCAAGTTAAGCATTAAATAAATAACACACAGACACTCAATTTCTGATATGAGATTGCAATCTACTCTTAGTAAATTAAAAGACGTGCATTCTTAATTCTTACATAAGCATTGCAATTCACCTTAGTAAACTTATCACTAAATAAATAACATGCACACTCTTAATTGTCGCATAAACATTGCAAGACCCTGTAGTGAATTAATCACTATATTAATAACATGCAGACATTCTAAATTCTTACATAAGCGATGCAACATACCGGTCTTAAATTAATCACTAGATAAATAACACGCGCTCACTTAATTTTTACGATTATCAAACCGTCCTCAACCAATTAATTACTAGATATTAATAACACACGCACTCTTAATATAAGCATAGCAATATCCTCATAGTAAGTTAAACATTAAATAAATAACACACAGACACTCAATTTCTGATATGAGATTGCAATCTATTCTTAGTAAATTAATTACTAAATTAAAACACGTGTGCATTCTTAATTCTTACATAAGCATTGCAATTCACCTTAGTAAACGTATCACTAAATAACATGCACACTCTTAATTGTTGCATAAACATCGCAAGGACCCTGTAGTGAATTAATCACTATATTAATAACATGCAGACATTCTTAATTCTTACATAAGCGATGCAACATACCGGTCTTAAATTAATCACTAGATAAATAGCACGCGCTCACTTAATTTTTATGATTATCAAACCGTCCTCAGCTAATTAATTACTAAATATCAATAACACGCGCACTCTTAATATAAACATAGCAATATCCTCATAGTAATATAAGCATTAAATAAATAACACACAGACACTCAATTTCTGATATGAGATTGCAATCTATTCTTAGCAAATTAATTACTAAATTAAAACACGTGTGCATTCTTAATTCTTACATAAGCATTGCAATTCACCTTAGTAAACGTATCACTAAATAACATGCACACTCTTAATTGTTGCATAAACATCGCAAGGACCCTGTAGTGAATTAATCACTATATTAATAACATGCAGACATTCTTAATTCTTACATAAGTGATGCAACATACCAGTCTTAAATTAATCACTAGATAAATAGCACGCGCTCACTTAATTTTTATGATTATCAAATCGTCCTCAGCTAATTAATTACTAAATATCAATAACACGCGCACTCTTAATATAAACATAGCAATATCCTCATAGTAATATAAGCATTAAATAAATAACACACAGACACTCAATTTCTGATATGAGATTGCAATCTATTCTAAGTAAATTAATTACTAAATTAAAACACGTGTGCGTTCTTAATTCTTACATAAGCATTGCAATTCACCTTAGTAAACTTATCACTAAATAAATAACATGCACACTCTTAATTGTCGCATAAACATTGCAAGGACCCTGTAGTGAATTAATCACTATATTAATAACATGCAGACATTCTTAATTCTTACATAAGCGATGCAACATACCGGTCTTAAATTAATCACTAGATAAATAACACGCGCTCACTTAATTTTTGTGATTATCAAACCGTTCTCAGCTAATTAATTACTGTAACATATTAATAACACGCGCACTCTTAATATAAGCATAGCGATATCCTTATACTTAATTCTTACGTTAACATTGTGATCTAGACTCATTTTGACGTGTTATTAGATAAAATTGGTACTAACATGGGTGTTTACTCTATCATTATACCCTTTTTCTTAAAGACGTAGAAACATCAACCCTAATTACTTACAGTTTTTCAATAATATTAGGTAATATTAGGTAATAAAAACAAGTAAAGCTAAATAATTATCATTAAATCATCTTGTCCTTGCATCATGTTCTTCAGGGATCATCATGGGCGGAGCGTCATCTGCAAAATTTGGAATAGGCAGCTTGGTGAAAAGGAATAGAAAAGAGAAGTTGTCACAACACGTTGCCATGGTAGCACATTTTCTGGATGACAACAAAACAAAAACGTCACTTAAAAAGTTAATTCGCACTGTTTCATACTTCATCGATCTTATTCAATTTCATTTAAATTTGTCAAATGTTGGCGAAATTTTCTGGAGTTGCATCCGAAAGTTAAGAAAAAGAAAAAGAAAATTTTGCGTTGTGTTCACCTACTCCAGAAAGAAGGCACATGAAATTAGGAAGTTTTTTGTCACAGTTGTGCAACGACTGTTACGAAGTCTACAAGAGTGCGATGCACGTGCAGCATTGCTGTTTTGCTATTACTTTTTCACTGGTTCTTGTTGCCTTCGCCGTCGTCGTTGGTTTAGCTCTCTAATGTTGTGATCCAGAAATTCTGCTACCATGGTAATGTGACGTCACACTTCTTCTCTATATCGCTTTAATTTTAAGGAAACAGGACTGATTTTTAGAACTTCGTGTTTAATGGGGATAAATTGAAGTATTTTCCACAGTGAGCATAGTTTGAAAAATTGGCCGACCCCTGCCACATGTCCCCCCAAAATGCTCTGATCCCATGGCTGGTAGGATCACAACTATCACTAATTTGTCATTTTCATACATCATTCAAAACCTTTCCAGGGCCAATTACATATATAGAGGAGCAAGGGTGGTGCACTGGTGAGAGTACTTGATCTCCTCCCACCATTGTGGCCCAGGTTCAAATCCTGGTGTCAACACCGCATGTGGGTTGAGTTTGTTGTTGGTGCTCTCCTTTGCTTCGAGAGGTTATTCTTCATGTACTCCAGTTTTCCCCTCCTCTCAAAAACCATCATTTTCAAATTTTAATTCAACCAGGAAATCAAGTGGATGAAGAACCACTTAGCAGATGTGCTACCTCTAAACTATTATTTATTTATATACTTATTTATTGAAAAGTTTCAATGTTCTGAAGATTGTTCTGGTTGATAATCTCCTGGACCCTAACTTTTATGAAATTATTAGGATCCCGCCCCGGTACAAATGAGAGCTTTGAATAGTCACGAAATTTCACCGCAGAGTTTGCGGGATTCAGTGGGGAAGCCCAAACCTATTTTTCAGTTGTACTGATAACCACTTTTTGCTAGCATACAATGTAGCTGCTCTTCTGATTGTGGAAATTTCTCTTGCAATTTTTTTACAAACATGTGCCAAACAACTTTAAAATCCTTTAGATTGCCGATTAAAGTAATGTGACGATCACTGACATCATAAGGGAAATCACCTATGACACTGCTAAGATACTTTCATATACCGGTACCTAATTAAGGACCTGGGCTGGATTGTTCAAAGCAGGGTTAGTGTGAAGTTTAAAATCAGATATGAAAGCTTACAAAGAAAATTCAGTTTAATTCTTTTTGCCTGCAATGTAGTGATTTGGTGCTCTGTAACGAACAGAGAAAATTATCCAAGAAAATGCTCTTGAACCACAGAAGAATAAGAAACCCAGATTAACATAATAATATTATAATCCTGGGTTAGTGCTAATCGGTTTTCGAACAACTGGGCCCTGATGACATTACCTACTGTTTTCTTTGATAATTTCTTGCCATCAGTCATCTGATCCTTCCTCTTTTCCTGAAAATAGACAAATACATATACCAGTAAATTCTTTAAACCATTTTATACAACTTCACCCATTTGAACTGATCGATGCCCATGTTGAGCCACATCCCATAATTTTATACTGCTTGTGGTGTCATCAGTCGTAATAAGTATATACCCAATTAAAGGAAAATTTGTGTAAACTCATGTAGGGGTAAGATATCTTTCAAACCGTACCAGAATATAAGCACGGTTAAGTCAAAGAGCCCGGAGAAAAATACAGATAACCATGAAAAGCTGACTTCAAAATTTTGATAAAAGTCTTGTTTTAACTAGTTACTTGAGTGTATCTTAATCTTCCATTTAATCATATGATTATGATGCACTGTCAGATGAAAACTGTGCAGTCTAGAAGCTTTCCCAAAAACTTTTCCCAGGGCTAATCAATTTGCAGCAAAAGAAAACAAAAACAGGGCAAGAAAAGCAAGAGAATATAAGAGAGGAGATCGAAAGAGCAAAAAGGTAAAGTCGAGACTCCTGTGTAATTTTTAAACCCAAATGCTATCTCAACATTTTGCTTTCTATTCATGAGCTTTAAGGTTTTAATTGAGCATGAGTTAAACTCTTGATAAACTCCTCTGACTCATACATCCACCTGCAATTGCATTAATACTAAACCTGAGTTCCATACCTTAATCTCATTTAACATAATTATCTAAAATATATTAACTGTCAAATCTCTTGTAAGGCACCACCTTGCAAATTTTGGAAAGTGGTCTTAACTAGAGCTGGTTGTTTTTGTGTTTACAGAAAGTTAATCATGTGAACAACTATGGCGAAAGGCCTATTATCCATTATTTTGATCCCTTTCTTTTGACTCACCACTTGCGTTAAAGGTTGCACGATTGTGTCCTTGTATCCTCCTCATGCAGAACATACCTGTAATTCTTTAAAGACATTGCAAACATAGCAGAAAGGAATAATATACATAATATAATTATTAAGACAACAATGCATGCATGGTTAACAATACAATTTAATGTGCAAGTTACAAAATAACTAATCATTTAAGCTTTACCACAGACGCGCGCAGTTGGGCATTTGCGCTCACACACTCTCTCTATCTCTCTCTCTCTCACATGCAGGACACTTAAACACATTGGCACTGTCAACACAAACACTCTCCCTCTCCCTCTCTCACATGCCTCTCTCTCTCTCACATGCAGGACACTTAAACACATTGGCACTCTCAACACAAACACTCTCCCTCTCCCTCTCACATGCCTCTCTCTCTCACATGCAGGACACTTAAACACATTGGCACTGTCAACACGAACAATACATAAATGTAGAATTAAGAA